AAACTGGGTAGAGCGAACAAACTTGTACATTTTTTATTTAATGCAGCACATTTTCAAGGAAGCTATGGTTTATGTAGTGTACTTATACTGCGGTTTGAGTGAACGGAATAATGTTTTTTAAATCGCATAACTAAGTTGTGTTACATACGAGTATTCGCGGTTGAGATTTATTTATGAAGCCATCAAAAGGTATACAATATTTATTTAAGCATCTGAATTTGCTATATGGGAGTACTTAAGAGCCAAACTTGAAAGCAGCTTAAACGGCAATTAACGAAGTCAAAGTCAAGTTAGCAATCTGCCAAGTTGACGACTTAATTTCATGTCGAACTGCGGAATTGATTGCGATTCGATGTGACAGCGGTGAAAAGTGGGTAAAGTGTGGAAACTCTGGCACATGCAAGCCGCATTCGATGCAAATGAACTGGGCATGAATAAGTGAGTGAACTATCTGCCATCCTGGCAACACTCAAACACTCAAACACTCACCCATGCAGATGAGCTAGACTCACACAGCTACTGCCATTTTTACCGCCATTCATGGATATATCTCATCTGCATCAAGTGCGTTGCGCAACAACAAAGGACGCAAAAAAAATAAAAGAAAAACGTGTTACAGAAACAACAACGTATGTAGAAAAGAAATACAACAACAAAAGAGGTGGAAAATCCTGCAAAGTGTCTGTAAACATTTATTTCAAAAATTTATGAATATTGCTCGCGCTCAGCAAAAGCAGCGTTGACAAACGAAAATTCCTTGTGCCCCGCATCTCCTCGCCGTTCGGCTTTCAAATTGTTCAAGCAATGGCATTGTTTACCCGCTTGTATGTCTATGTGTGTGTGTGAGTTATTGTTCCGAGACATGATATTTTACAGCTTTGTTATGGAATTCAACAGGGTATTTCCAGACCCTGACGCAGATACATGTTTATATATATACCACCATAGTTAAAAGGCTCTTTAAGTCGTTTTCCCAGACCGATTCTTTTCAATTAAGCCGATGTTAATGGTAGTACTAAAGTCACTAGAACTTAACCGATTTATTGGAATATTCTTGCTAACATCTAGCAGTTCACTCGGTTTTCAGTTATTTTTATAGTAATTCAAAACTTTAGATCAAACCTTTACCTAAGAACTCGGGTAGAAGCCAATCCAATTTGTGGAAAATGTCAAAAGCAGTTTTGAACTTTCGATGGCTTGGCTTTCCTTTCGCTTGCTTAACACCCAATTGCTGTTTTCAACTATTCGAGTTGCCCGTGTTCGTATCATTAGAGGTTCTTCTGCTTTTCCGCTGACGTGGTATCCGAATGCCTGGAAATAGTTTTCCCTTCGCTTTTCTTTGCCACTCCTTTCCCGGTTTGCCGCCCCCGTTTTTCCCTTTTTCATGTTGCGTAGCGCATTACAAATGACAGCCGCCTGTCACACACACATGTGCACCGTGGGGGGAGGGGGGGGTAAACCAAAACAGACACTCTTACACACACACACACACGTGCAGGAGGAAGCCACACACAGACAGGCGGCACACGTGTAGAATGCCATACCATACATACATGGCCATTAGTGTTGTGCTGTTGTCGTTATCATGCACAAAAAAGTTGTCGTCCCTGCTTAACTTTACGCTGCCTTACTCCACTTTGCGTGTAGTTCTGCTGGCAAAGCCCCCTTAACACCCAACTTCCTTAACCCGCCAATTGTCACACTGGAAAGTACATAAAACAATGCCATTGTTAATGCCTGCAAAGTTGTTGGGAATCTTAGTTTGTATCAACTACAATATGAAATCCTTGAGGATTTTAATTGCAAATCCACAGCTTCTTACATCAAACAATACCTTTGAGTATTGAGGCTTAGGATATCAGCATGCAATTTATTATGAAATCGCATGCATTTGAAATAATTTGCCTTTCCAAACTTTGCATACAAGTTATCAAACAGAAACTAGAAGACTTTGTTTAATTCAAGACATTAACAATCAAGTAAATGCTTTGGTGGTCTTTTAGTTTTGAAACTATTCCAAATGAAATATCTTATCGCTTCCAAAAATAGTTTTCCACTGTGTTTGTCCTCTTATCCCTGACAAGTGCTGGCCAGAAATTTTCGGTAGGAGAAAGTTTAGTTGGTCAGCCAAGTGAATTACAAACTCAGTACTTAATCCTCAGCTCGCACCCTGTTTTTCCAGCATTTCCTCGCTTTTCCCATCTGTCTTTCCGTACATGGCGTTAGTTGTTATTTAATTATAATTTTTCATTCTTGTTTCGGGTGTGGAAAATGTTGTCATCGCACATGCTTGTAGATTATTGGTATTTTCGTGGTCGTAGGTGTAAGAAGGGCATTAAATGGTACACTTTCGTCTGCGAGTATGCAAATACAATTATAATTTCATTTTTCAATCCGGCTACAGTGCGTTACATTACGTTAAGATCCAGGCTTTACCATATAGGCATTGGAAATGAAAATTGTGGTCGCATACTTTTCTGATTTTTTTTTTTTTGACCATCTTTGTTCATTTTTAAATGCAATTTTTACTGCTGTAATTTTGTTGCGCCTCTAGCCCACTTTTTTATTTTGCTTTCAAATTTCCTAGATACTTCATAATTTGTATTCACTTCCATTTTTCCAGTCGCCTTTAGCTTGTCATTTTTCGATTTCCTATTCATTCCGAATTTTCTTTTGACGTGCGTTTTCTTTGGCGTTCCTTCAATCGATTTTTGCTTTTTTAATTTCATAGCCAATCATGGCTCAATCAATTTTTGGCACTTTCATTTTTAACTTTTGCTTGCTCCTTGCCTGTTTTTGATTTTCGAAATTTCAAACAAAGCTACGCTAATATTAAATAATTGAATTCTTCATATAATATTTGCTTACCGGGTAAATAAACCTAACAAACAATAAAATGTCAACTACAATCAATTTTTGGACGAGGACACACCTTTTTGAGGGGGCTTACCCCGCTCGAAAATTTTCCCATTTCCTTGAGACACGGCGAACATTTTAATGAGATTTTCGAATTCCAAAGAAATTCAAAACGTTGCTTATTCAACTTGTTCTATGTGTGTGTGTGTGGGTGTGTGTATTAGTGAGGCACACTTTCTTTCTTTCTGCAAGTGTGTGCGTATTTGTATTTGTGTTTGTGGCAACAGGCAACAAGCCAAGTTAATTAGCAAAAGGCAGATAGCGTCACACAAAAAAGGAGCAACCAACTAAGGCCATCTTAAGGTCTGATCGAGCAGCGAGTGAAAGTGGGTGAAAGTGGGTGAAAGCGGGGTGGCCCGGGGTGAAAGGGGTTAACTGGAATGAAGGCCAACAAATATGGGAGGTGGCTGAATTCTGCGGGGACCTCCGCTTAAGTGCGGGTTTTTGATGTCGGCGCAAATTGCTAAGAAAATGATTTATTATCTGCAAAAGGCAATTAAGTAAAATTGCTTGAAAATTATTTGCACCCCCTCCCTAACCGATAGAGAAAAAGCCAAACAGAAGCCAAGCCAATATAAACGCAAATGACAGCAAATCTTTTGGGAGACCCGAACAAAGAGGTTACACCAAATAGAAAACTTGGTTAGTGTATCCGTTCAAAAGTTTTTCTAAACTATAAAATAGAAATATAAAATATTAAGACCTATATAGACCTTCTATAAGTCAAAACTTACGTTTATGTTTCTGAATTTCTAAAATGCACACTATTTTTCCCCATTTATCTAAAACTATATCTTTAGAAATCAAACCCACTTTTGATTTAGTCTTTCCCAATTACGTTAGAAACTGCTTTTTCATTTTTAAATACAGCTTATCTGTACAAAAGTATTTCAAAAATTATGGCGTCTCCAAATTCCAATTAAGCGCAAAGTTTTTGCGGCAAAACTATTTCCCATTCATTAAAAAGTTAACACTTGGTCAGACAAAAGTTTAGCGAAACACTATAATTCCACAAACAAAGTTTCCACATATGTAACCATAAAAAACGGTACATTACTTAATGTTCGAGGCACTCCATGTTTTGGCAAAATGATATTTTTGACCAGATTTACGACGACTTTAAAGTGTCTTTGCCTTTCAAATTGTTACCCCGGCGTAGAAGGGAACTCACCTGCCCGTCGCTCCAACAATTCCACCGCTCATCCAACATGATTTATAAGTCGAATTAGAAGGAGCCACACGACGGGCATGGAACAAGAGTGAATTAATTACGAATTCAAGCCCGAAGAGGTAATTAATTCACTTCATTTTCCTCCCCTGCAAAGTTGGCTGAAAACCAAACCAAACCAAACCAGACTCAGCTCGACTCGATTCAAGTCAACCATTTTGTTGACAGACAAACAAATGCTGGGCCAAATAAGCAAACATGTGCACATAGGCACCTGCTAGGACATTCATGAATTCATTGCTTACATTACGCCAAGGATATTTCAAATATTTCTTTTAAGAATTTATCCAAAGTCGTAATTGCTCAGAAATTTAGCTGAAGCTCCAATGGGCTACAAGCCGCGCTCTGCAAATAGGAAAAGTATTTACATTTCCCAAGGACTTTTAGGTAATTTAATCAATGCTTTTAATTCGTCACGTTTACGATTACTGCTATAATAAAACAGTTCATTTAGAAGCGATTTTCCTCAATGCAATTCATTAGAGCTTTTGATAGGTTGTTTGTTTCATAAGTGGCTATTTAAGATGTTAATTTTTTGGTTACTAAGTATAAGTATAATCAGTGTATTTTAAATCCAAGTTGAAAATGACCTAAATGCATCGGTTTCGTTTCAGGTTTCTGAGTCAGAAAATTTGAAAACCCATTTTCCGTCTCTATCAAAACCGTGCTGCCCGATTTATTCGGCTTGGTTTTGGCAAACATAGCCCCAAAATTCCAGACCTGCAAATGGATCTCTCTCTCTCTCTCTCTCTCTGTCTCTCTTTCTCTCTCTCTTTCTTTCTCAGTGCAACTGGGAATTTGAGTCCTCCGCACAATGGAACTGACCATATTTACATTTGTCAAGCACTTCGCTCACCTTTGACTGCGATGTGTTCTCTGTGTCTCAAGCTTTCTCCGCTAAATCCTCCTCCGAATTGGAACGCAAATGGGATTTAAATATTTGCCACACACACTTTTCACTACGGCTCGGTCGCTTGTATTCGAATTGAAAAAATGGTATTCAGAACGCCTTTGGCTCAACTGCCCAAGCACTTTATTTATATGGTTATATACTCAATTTCTTAGTTTAGCACAAAAACCAAAAAAAAAAGAAATCCTATGTTCGACACTTTCGAATATCTTTCGAAAACCGGACAAAAGCAGTAACTGCGTAACTGTAAACTGTGACCAGTGAGCCGCGACTGAGCAGTGACTTGCGACTGTGATGTGAGTAAACAGAATTCAGAGGCTGAGGCTGAGAACCGAACCGCACGAGAGTCTGTTGACGAATGAGTTACAATGGGCGGTGCGAGTTCTTAACAGCCGCAAGACAACAAGTTGCCATGTCCTTAACAGCGCTGCTAACGCGTCTGTGGAGTGGGCACATTTTAACAGCGGTGAAAGCTCTGCTAAATGAAAGTTTAGCCGTTGCAGTTTTGCGGAAACTTAGAATGGTCGCCAACAGATGGCGACACCGAGTGCGCCGCATAAAAGTTTAGGCAAACATAATACTTGCGATAAACTCTAGTAAATTTACAAATACTTTTGCAGTTTGCGCAACATGTATAAAAACATCGCAGTTTTTGTTTTTTTAAATTTTATTTTTGTTTTTTTTTTTTTCATTTTATTTTGTTGTAAGAAAATTTCTCATTATTCATCGGTCGACTTCCTGCGACTTCTCTAGCTAAAAAAAACTCACTTCAACATCTTTCGGTCCAAACAGAAAAAGAATGACACAGTCCAAATCGGAATGGGATGGGTATAAACGAAAAATAAACACAGAGGACAATCAATCGCTTTGTAATAGTATGACTAATTTAAACATATCGTACAATTGGAAGGCTTTCTTGTCTTACAACTCAATCGATCGGTCTAGCTTCCATTTTCGTTCGATAATCCTTTCAGTTGGACGACGCGAATCATTCTCTAAGCTGCTCCTCCTCTTTCTATAATGTGTCTTCAACAAACGAAGACAATTTCACAAAGGAATTTCTTTAGGTTGGTTTGTTTTCATATGTTTTGTTTGTTGTGATTGTTGCTGTTGTTGTTTTTGTTGTTGTGTTTGGAGTATGTGCAGTTTTGGGCATTTCAAAGTTCAAATTTCTAAAACAAATCTGCGGAAACGTTGGTTCGGTATTCGTTTAAAGACTAACAATCTCGATAGACGAAAAAAAAATTATGATAGTATGATCTTTAGAAATGATCGAACATGATGTACATAACTAATTAATTACGAAACTTTATGCTCTGCTCCCTACAGGATGAAAATGGCGGGAGTGGTGAAATTGCTGTTGCTGTAGCTGCTCCTTCGGCAGCCGATGTTGTGGCTACCGCTCTCGGTGTTGTTGGGATATGTGCAGTCTTGAGCGGATTTGAACTTAATCATCGCCAGCGGAACGCTTGACCTTGCGCTGCTTGGGACTCTGCTGGCTGGCCACCTTGGGACTGGCCGGCTTGGTGGGCTTGGGCGAGGTCTTGGGCGTCTTGGACTTGGGCGGCGACTTCTGCAGCGCCCGCAGCGTCTCCTGTGGCACCCAATCGTAGTCGATGGTGCTGTCGTTGGCGGTACCGGTTTCGATCACCTTCTTGGCAGCGGCACGCTTCCTCTTGCCAGAGCTACCCAGCAGATACTGCTGTCCGATGACCAGAAGCAGGACCACAATGCCGGCCAGCAGGACGTACAGGAAGAAGGTCTCACCATCCAGACCCTCATCGACCTCCGAAATCAGAACGGTCTCATTGAAGACGGCCTCGTTGTACTGAATGCCATTGGCATCGCGGTAGGCCAGAGCAATGTTCAGTCCAAAGGGACGGCCGGCAAACTGATCCGAGGGCAGGAAGGTGTACGATACGGTCGACTCGAAGCCGGGCTTCACCTCGCGGTTGTAGGCCACCGCCGAGAAGTTCTGGATGAAGTAGTTGAAGTCCATGGGATAGCGGAAGGAGGCCTCCACCGTCTCGATCACGAATTCCTCGGCTCCCTTGTTGGTGAATCCAATCAGGAACTCAACGGGCTTGCCGCCGGGCAGATCCAGCTGCTGGCCAGGTGTGTACAGTGGTTTCGTAAAGAGCAGATAAGTGTCCGCGTTTGGCGAACTGCTGCTGCCCGTGTCGCTGTCCTCGTCCGCTTCCGCATCCTCGCCAGTAACGGCGCCCTCCTCGCCTTCCACGTCCACCAGGTCGTCCTCCACGGCCTCGGCGGCATAGGCTCCAAACTTGTTGGCTGTAAAAGGAAGAAAGAGTGTTGTTATTGAGAGTGCTGAAGTACACGGAGCTACATTCGCATAATCTTTGAAACTAATCAGAGATATGATATATTTAGGTTGGCTTTCTTGACAGCTTACAGAAATATGTTTGTAACCTTGATATTAAACACCTATGTATATTTATTGCTTTTGTAAATGGGTCATTTAGCTTGCGGAGCTAAATTTGATACTTTGACTTGTTCAAGGCCTGGCTAACTTCCTTTGCAACTGTTCCCAAGCTTGGGATATAGTAAACCGATCAGTGGGAAACTTGGATATATACCGAGAATGCCTAAAAAATACCATCGTGCCTAGTTTGAAGCCTTGATCTTGCAAACGAAACGAACTAATAGCCATCTCAGACAAGCCAACTCACGAGTCAGAGCGAGAGGGCGATAGGCTCATGCCAACTCAACAGTTTTGACCGTATGATGAAAATTCGGCCACCAAAGATGAATGAAAATCGTCGAATTACGACGGTAGCACACGACTTGCACTGATTGGCAGTGCAATGAAGCATAATCCACGTAGCAAATCTGTCGGCAGAATGCCACGTATACGGATGGGAGCACCCCCGCCCACTGAACGATTGTTATTTATCGGCAGAGATTCATATGTGTAGGCTCTACTTACGCGCCGAGAAGGTGCAGATGACGATGGGCAGGACCATCAGCATAAGGAACATCAGATGCCTCATCTTGTTGGCTAGTTTTCAATATCTTCGGGGCTCCAAATGCAATCGAATGCGCGGCGCACACACGGAAATTCGGCTGGGAAATCGGCTGAGGGGAAAAAACGCACGCACACACAACCTTCGCGATCGAGTGAAAATGAAAAAGTGACGAGCGGCGGCGGTAAAGCGGCGAAAACAGAAGACGATGGGGCACGAAGTGAACACGAAGCGGAGACACGACTTTCACTGTCAAATGTCTACGTGGTGCCACGTCTAGGGTTGCCAGGGCGTCTGATTCGGCGGGTCAAATACACTGTTATCCACATCGTAACTGCCGCACGGGTAGTCATTTTCCTAGGCATCTATTAAACACACATTTAATTACTGTTGGAAGCGTTTTCTTATACCTAAAATAACTAATAATATTAAATGCTGTTTTATTTTGTTGACATTTGAGTGGGCCGACAACTCTGGCGAGACAAGCAGTGCTGCAAAACGCCGAAACTGTCATTCCTCGTGTTTTTTCATTTAATTCACTAAAAAACAATAATCAGGAAAACATCATATTTTATGCAATTTAAGTTTCACAAAATATTTAGTTTTTAATACAAAAAACTACTTCTTGACGGAGGTAAACATACTAAAAACATTTTACAGCACTGACACCGCTTCTGTAATCTGGCTATTTTTATAGCTATAATATATTAATATTACATTTATATTAAAAATATTATAAGACAACATTAAATGGCCATATTGAAATGTAGCGATATTTATTACAAATACGTTTCTTATAAAATCAATCAAAAATAAAGGAACCCAATTTTCATTTGCTTGTGTATGTGGCCAACACTTTGCCGTTCATAGCTAATTCGGTTCGGTTCGTGGTACAACGATTTAGGAATAGTGAAATTAAACATGAATATTACAATTTAGGACACCAATCATTTAAAATATTAGGACAAATTTAACAGTGGTAGTAACATAATTTAGTTGGCTATTTTATAGCCACTCACGCGCATTCGATAGTGAGCGACGCCGTTAATCGCACCTATCGATTGGCCTGCGCAGCGCAACCAACTTCACGTCGCCGTGCCGATAACCGCTCAACTTCCTTTTTGCTTGCGGCTGTCAATTGAAGCGCAACTTGCACGTGAATTCTCTGTGAATTTAGCAATTTTAGCGATCTAACATGGACAAACCAGTTGTGTGGGCACGCGTAATGAAGGTTCTGGGCCGCACCGGCTCCCAGGGTCAGTGTACTCAGGTGAAGGTTGAGTTCCTGGGCGAGCAGAACCGCCAGATCATCCGCAACGTGAAGGGACCAGTTCGCGAGGGCGACATCCTGACCCTTTTGGAATCCGAACGTGAAGCCAGGAGGCTGCGCTAATTGGCGACCAAACTCGAGAAGGTATGTTCGCCTGCAATTGCTTGCCGCTGTAAACACTCCTTTTAACACAACCTTTTATTATTCCACAGACCTTTTTACACACACACACAAACTGTTTTTCGCACGCGGCTTGTTTTTCGTGGAGAAGAAGAAGCGGATGGATGCCAAGAAATTCGCGCGTGGCTGCTGCATATTCGTTATAAACAAATGAAAATACACACCTAATTCGCCAGAAAATCAGCCAAAATGTGTTTTAAATAAATCTCGAGAGCATTGGACCGCCTTTGTACGAAAAAGAAAACCAATCAAGCCTGTGTTTTGGTTTCATTACTTTTTGTTTTTGTGTTTTTTTTGAGTGCCCAGTGAAAATTGCCAATGGAATGTTGTCTCCCAGCGACTTTATTTAACAATCTATATTTGCATTTAGCAGAAACCTTTGCCTTCTCGGAAATCAACAAATAACTTTAAACAGACGAAATGCAAATAGAGCGGATGATTCTTCAATTGTTAAACACACATGGACAGCTTTATTGAAAATGGGTTTCGTTGATTTCCTTATAGAAGCAAAGTTTTTTTTTTTTTAAAACGCAATGGCAAGAAGTCTGGAAACATAACATCCAAAAATTTCGTATTTTTGCGTCGACGAAATAATATTTCAAAAGAGCCCAGCCAAATAATTCCAATAGCATTTTACAAAGAGTAAAAGCAACAAAATAGCACTTTATTAATACAAATATTTTGTATAGAGGAATACTGATGTTATTTAATTCAATGTACATTTTATGCAAAAATTATTTTAAATATTAGAACGGCCGGAGCTGCACCGAAAATATATATATTTACAATAAAAAGCAACAGCTCAGTTAGTTAATATACATTTTATAGGAAATTATAGTTAAAACCACTAGATGCACACTTCTATATTCTTTCAGAAATTAGCCTGATTAACAAAAGCAAATTTGTTTTTCCCCTCACAAAGTCAGCGGGAAACTGGACAGTCTTTCGATTTTGGCCAATCCGAGGGTAATACGTGCTTCTGCTGGTTCCGGCAGGTGGAGGTCGGATTTGAAGGCCTCCAAAGAGGATTCGGGTGCTGCAAACTTGGGTTGCAGTTGGCTAAGATGAAGCTCTAGATATTTGACCTGGTTCTGCAGCAGTTTCAGCGATTCCTCTAGGAAATTTCTGAATTCGGTCAAGGCCGCCGGTGTTTTGGTTTGGTTCTGCTCGTGATTTAGGTGCAGGCATTCAGTTTCGAAGTCAGTTACTTGGGCGGATATCTGCACCAGCTCATGAACCAGTTTCGATCTATGAAATGGATAGCAAAGCAAATCAGATAAGTTTCTGGTTATGATTGGGCCACTTACATGCTGTTCTGCAGGCTTCGGTAAACATCATGGCACACCGAAAGTAGCGCAACTGTGGCTGCTTGATTGGAACTACACAATAATGGCAAATTAGCATTGTTTTATTTCATCAAATTAAGGTTTTACCCCTTGACGACCAGTCGATATCGTTGGCCCAACTCCCACAACCGATTCGCTTGATTCGACAATTCAGGTGTCGTCGCAGATTTAAGGCATAGGTAACTCCTTATGGTGGTGGCCAAATCCTTGAGTTGCTGCTCCAAACTGGTTTTATAGTGCTCCAAACGATCCGCTGGCGATAGCATCACGAAAATGCAGTAAAATTTAAGTTAATATTGTAATTTGTACTATTCTGCGACTGTAATCGATAATATGAACAGTTATCGGCACATGGTGGTGCTGGCGATCGCCTTCAGAACGATATATATCGCACAAAGGTTATATTTCTAAATTTTTTCCAAAAAAAATCCTCTTTATGGCAACTTGTTATTAATAATAATCAATATATGGAATGTCATACCTCTCCAAGCTCGTAATTAAATTTCCAATCGATTGGCCTTCAATTTATCCAATTTTAATTTTTGTATATTTTGATGAATGCGAAAATCCGAATTTGGGACATTAATAATCAGTTTTTTTGCCACAACTTTTAAAATAATTGTCCCAATATAGAATGTTATACCTCGTTGCGCTCGTAATTAAATTACCAATCGAACTGCGTTCAAAAATGGGAATGCTAATTTTTTGGAATTTTTTGCAAATTTTGATGATGTTACCCCTTACAAAAAATGCGAAAATCGACCGAAAAATGAAGTTCCCAAAATCGGTCAAAAAGTGATAGGGGCCGCTAGCATTGGTAATTAGCTGCTCAAAACAGTTATTCTTTCACCTTTATGATAATTTTTAGCCAAGTTATGATTAAAATGCCCACCAACAAATTTGAATTTTTGCCTAAATCCGTTTTTTCGAATTTCGGTCATAAAATAATCTGTTTTTTGGCCACAACTTCAAAAATAATTGTCTAAATATGGAATGTTATACCTCGTTGAGATCGTAATTAAATTTCCAATCGAACTGCGTTCAAAAATGGGAATGCTAATTTTTTTAAATTTTTTGCAAATTTTGATGATGTTACCCCTTACAAAAAATGCGAAAATCGACCGAAAAATGAAGTTCCCAAAATCGGTCAAAAAGTGATAGGGGCCGCTAGCATTGATAATTAGCTGCTCAAAACAGTTATTCTTTCACCTTTATGATCATTTTTAGCCAAGTTATGATTAAAATGCCCACCAAAAAATTTGAATTTTTGCCAAAATCCGTTTTTTTGAATTTCGGTCATAAAATAATCTGTTTTTTGGCCACAACTTCAAAAATAATTGTCTAAATATGAAATGTTATACTTCGTTGCGCTCGTAAATAAATTTCCAATCGAACTGTGTTCAAAAATGATAATGCTAATTTTTTGACAATTTTTGCAAATTTTGATGAAATGAATTTTGAAAATGCCAAAATTTGCCCAAAAAGTAATTTTACAAAGTTTGTCAAAAAGTGATATGAATGGTTAATATTGGTATTTTTTTAGCCATACGATAATTTATTGTCAAGAAAATTAAAATAATATACCTCAAATGGAATTATTAAGTATACTTTATTCATTTAGGACTGAATATTTTTATTTCTCGTAATTTTCTGAACAAATCATGTCAGGATGATCGACATCTTGAACTTTTATTTAGACGTATTTATTGCAGCAAATGCCTAGGTATCTGATAGTCGGAGTAGACCCCGGCAAAGCGGATCACCCAACCGACACCGTCGTAGTTGACGGTCTTGTGGAAGCGGACGATCACATCGCTGCGCTGGCTCTTGTAGTACTTTGGGATGTCCTCGCCACAGAAGCGTCTCATTTCGTGCTCCTCTCCGGTTTCGTACAACTCAAGGATCTGCAGGTAATCCGTGTGACAGGTGGTCCTGGAACCCAGATTGAAGACTAAACAGAAAACGAAAAATTATTAAGGGCCAGAGAAGCGAATATTGTATCGTTGACAATTGGTTTCAACTCACTTTCAAATGTGAGGAATACAACAGTGTTACTTGGCACCCGGACAGTCCACTGACACTCGGAGTTATTGCGCACATTGTTCGGATAGAAGGGATTGGAGAAGATGCCCTCGGTGTTGTAGAACTGACCACCGCAACCAGGTTCCTTATCCGCCGGGCTGGCCAGATAAGTGAGATCCAGCGAGGTCAAGAACGAGCCGGTCTTCATCTGCAGCCGCAGCTCATCCGCATTGCTGAACAGACTCTTGCCCGTGTCGACAAAGGAGCAGACGCGCTGCAATGATCGATTCGTCCTATCGAAGACCTCCAAATTCTCCATTTCACAGTCGAAGGTGCCGAATATCAACTCGGTGTAGTACAAGCTCAAGGTGTGATTAGGTGGCGCCCGGATAATGATGTTGCAATCGGTTGACTGTGAAAAATGCACTCTGCCCTGCAGTCCATCGTAATGGCGCTCCGCGTTGGAGTTGAGAGCGACCTGCAACTGGAATCCGCCACGCTGCTCCAATCCCTTGGACCGGAACTTCAGATACACCTCATTGGACTGGCCATAATAGATGTCCGGCTTTATATTGCCGCAGTACACATGCTGTGTGGCAAAGCCGAGACCGTTCTGTCTGGTTGACTGGCCATTGAAAACCAGGTCATTGCCCAATCCCTGCTCTAACAGCAGTGCATCCTGGTTAGGGGAATAGATGCGATAAATTCAAGATATTCACATGAAACACGACTATTTCAACTCACCTCACTATTGTAGATTTTCAAAAAGTCCTCCTCACAGCTGCCGTTTTGATTTGGTCCATGGAGATCAAAGTTGATGAACTGCACCCTCAGCAGGGAATCACCCTTAATTTTCCAGAAGCAGGACACTCCATTGGCGTAATTACCGCCTGGCGTCCTTGTCGGTGAATTAATGGTGACCTGCTTGGTGCCATCCGAGCGTAAGGTAATCTCTGAACTGCCGCATGGCCGTGGAACAGCATTGATGGTCACCTGGAAACCCGTATCCGTCACCGTCTCATCGGTGACAAAGCGCATGTAAAGCGAATGCCTGGTGGTTTTCAGGCTGGGGGGTTGATTAAAGCCACAAAAGCGGCCGATGATGTCGGCAAAGGAGCCGCCACCGTCGCGCAACTCCACATAATCACTGCGGCATGCATCCGAATCTTGCACATGGAAGTTACTGAACTCCACGCTGATCTGCTGATCGGAATTCACTTGGAACACTATTTGGCAGTCCAAATCGTTTTGATAACCGTCGGCGTTGTTGAACTTGCTATAGACATAACGCGACGATCCGTTCAGCGAGATCTTCTCATCGCAATTCGGCATCACGCGAACCAAGGCACGGAATCCCCGCGATGGATCCCGGTCATCAGAGAAGCTATGTATGATGGCCCGATCCTGGGGAATACTGATCAGTGGCAGATTCCCGTTGATGTGGCCACAGAATCGTCCCCATCTGTATCGCGGGTCCGGAGTGGGTCCGGAGAAGACCTCGACGCCATCGTAGTCACAACTGGCGTGCGCCTCAAAGTCGATTAGAAGGAACTTAATGTTGAACTTGTGACCCGCTGGGGCGGTTAGATTCCAATAGCAATCAGAACTGGGTGGCAGGGTGTTATCCGTATGCTGGGCTGGTGATTTTACAATTGTAGTTTCGGTGATAAGTCCGCCGCAAAGGCGGCTGGTATAGCGCAATGTGAATCCCCGACCGGAAAAACTGCCATCCGTTCGGAGAAGCAGATTAATGTATTCCTTGGCCCGGTACTCGTGGTTATGCTTTACGCCGCAGAGAATGGTACGATGCGGATCCTTGTTCTTATCCTTTGTGGTCACCGTGAGATTGTCGAAGAGGCAGACGGATATGGGCGCCTGCTCTAGATCGAATTGCAGAAAGCTGACCAGGACACCGCCCATCGAGGGACTTCTGGGCACTATGGTCCAGTTGCATTGCAAATACTTCTCATAACCGAATGGATAGCCCGGGCTGGACAGCTCCTGTTCATCGTCGTCGGCGTAGAGCAGACCACCGCAATTCCTCTCGATGTTGGCCAAGAAACCATCGGCCACCACATCGCCATCGGAGCGGAAGATTAGCCGGAGGTATGGCGAAGTAGTGTTTACCATCTCCGGCGCAGTACGACCGCAAATTCTCTGCAGATCGGTCCAATTGCCAGTGGTTTGGTTGCGCTGCTGGACGAGCAGGTAATCCTTGGTGCAGCCTGGGCTGTCCTCGATGTAAAAGCGTCCGCGGAATGTTACACCGATGTGGTAGCCCATCGGCGCCTCCGCCTCCCAGATGCACTCCACATTGTTCTTGTACTGCTCCGCGAAGTCGATGGCCCTGTAGGGATACACCAACTTGCCACCGCATCCAGATCCATACTTGATGGACACATTGAAGGTGGCATTGGGTGAGAAGCTATCGGAGTGGTACTCCAGGAAGAGGCCTCGCTCTACCACCATGTTCACAGCAGTGGCCTGATTGCAGAACATTCCCAAGGAAGGTGAGTTCTGATCGGGTCCATTGTACACCTAAATCAAGAGCAATCATATATCGTGTCCAAAGAAGATGCGCAACCTTACCTTAAGATAGTGATGCAGGCATGGGGAGTCTGGAAATTGTGTGGCCGAGATCGGTGCTGGCAGGTTGACATCATATACCGACACCTCCAGCTGAATGTCCTGGGGCATCGCCTCGTCCTCGCCACTGGCATCCGTATCGGGTCCAATGGCCCAGGCACAGTCAATGGGGCCCACAAGCGCCTCCATTCCCGATGGCTGGTGCATCGTTGTATTGTCGCCCGGTTCCAGAATAAAGACTCCGCCGCATGACTGCATTTTGTAGCCCAGCAGGAGGTTAACCATTGCGTTGCCGATGGATGCCGAGACGACCACTTCGATGGGGAATGGCACCCGGATGGCGGGCAGGGGCCTGCCTGGAGCGGTTGTCTGGTAATCGCAGATAATGCGCTCCATAAGGCGCTCCTCCTGGTCCAAACGGTTAAACTTAAGCGGCGCGAGCAACGCACAGAGATTTGAATTCCCCATCATAACGGAGGTGCTGTTGAACTCGTTCACCTGAAAAGTGAACAGAATACATTTGTTCATCACTAAAATGAACAGTTCATTTACGATCATTGTCCTACCTGAATCATGAGGGTACTATTAACCGGCGGTTCGATTACGTAGCTGCAGTAAAACGGATTACTGGTATTGAGCCGCTGGATCCGGATCTCCGTAAGCTCATTCAGCTTGACCCCGAATTTCTTGCAGTCACTGGTGTAATAGGAACTAAAGCGCAGCTTGATTCCACGACTCTGAGAAATGGGCAGTAGGAAGGCGTCGATGCCCATTGTATTGTCAGAGGAAATCACCTCCGTGGGGGGACCGCTGTAGTAGCGTCCTAGGAGGGACTGCATTTTGAAATCGTTGGCCACGTTCAGGCGACCCCAGAAGTTCATCCTTGTCTCGTTATTCAACCGCAAGCCCGTGTTAAAGTCGAGAATCTCCAGACGCACCCTCCTGCCCTTGGGCACTTGCACGCGCCACACGCAGTGCAAGGGATGTTGCACCCCCATTGGATAGCCGGGTGTCTGGAGAACTCCCACCGACCCGTAGATGGTTTCGCCGCATCGCGAGCCCAGCGAGGTGTACTTGAAACGGAAGCCCTCATCCTCCTGCGGAATGCCATTTAGGAAGCGATATCGGAAGACGATCTTATTCGTTTCACTCAGCAGATGCTTGGGGCTATCGCCGCAGAGCATTAGTGTGTCTACGATCTCCTCCTCGCCGTCCACCCCAAAGGCAGACATCTCCTCGAGCATCAAATGATTGCGCTGCGAGCAGCTGCCGTTCTGCAGCTTGGGTATCTGCAGACGTTCGCTCACCAGGTCGATGGCGCTGCCCTTCTCTAGTTCGATGGTGTACACACACTCCTGCAGCTGCTTGTCTTCCTCGTGAATCATCAGGAGCTCCCTCGACGGCGAGGCTATTATGCCCTCCGGACTCTGGAAGGAGCCTCCGCATCGGGCCACACTCAAACTGGCGTTGAAGCCCAAATGCGGCTCCGAGACATCCGTAAAGTAGCGAATCCGCAGCTGGTTGCCGGTGGAGTAGATTGAGTCCGGCTTGCGACTGCCGCAATAGCGACCGATTTCCGGTCTCAGCTCCGTACTGCCATCGTTGACCAAGAGATATTCCTGTAGGCACTCCTCCGACTTCCCGGTGGCGTCCAACAGATCGAATGCCCCTTCAAAGTGCAACATTATGCGGTGTTCTCGTGGTGCCTCAACGATCCAAATGCACTCGGTGTGGGGATGCGGAAGATGTGGGTAGTAGGGTGAGCTGATGAACTGCTTCTCTCCGGAGGCAGACAGTCGGATACGGCCGGAGGTGGTGTAACGCAGTTCCTCGAAGCGGAAGGACACCAGGAAACGGGGTGAGCTCGCAAAGTGAAACTTTATATAGGCCTTATTGGAGGTGGTGTTCAAGACTTCGTGCACGACATCCTCACAGTACTTGCCGCGACCCAAGAATGGCGAATCTTCATCGATTCCATTGCGGAGTAAGAGATAATTGCGGCAATCGCTCGATCCGGCGGCCACATTGTTCTGCAACTGGAAGTCGGGGAAATCGATCCTGATCCTTGCGCCCTGGCGCACTTTAATGGTCCATACGCAATCCTGATTTGGCCGCGGATTGACCTTCAGGATCTCCGTAATGTTAACCAGACCCTTGGACGCAGTGATTTCCGAGCCGCAGGCCGTGCGCACAATGCCATTGAATCCCGTCTTATTCACACTGGGATCCGTCTTGAATTCCACCTGAAGATAGGGTGTTCCGTGGAAGATTCGGTCACTCGACTTCGTGGGCAGGCTGCATAGCGTTCTGAGGGGCGACCAGTTCTGGAGATCGTTGCTACTCGAGATCCTAACATAGTCAGCAATGCAATCTTCGCTAAATAACTCCAAGTCGATTTGACTCAGTGTGAGGACGGCATGCGTGGCCGGATTCGAGGGCACCAAGCTCCAGGAGCAATTTAGATTCTGTTCGTAGCCATTGGGATAGCCTGGCGAATGAAATCCGATGACCGAGCGATCGATGGTAATCAACTGATTGCCACATTGGCGTGTCCGCTCCTCCGCCGTGCGATTCGAACGTAGTGCCTCCTTGGATAAGCGATTCCAATTTAGCTGGAACGGACCTCGGTTGGTCGTGAAGTAGAGCACATGCGTGCTGGATGTGATGGGTTCGTGGTTACTTGTCACCTCGATACGCGATGCAATGTCCGAATAGCCATCGTAGAAGATCAAGTGCGGCTGGTCCAGATCCCTGAGATAGCTCAGGGATATCAACACCACGTACTCCTTGTCCACGGTAATGCGCCAGCTGTACGGCTCCGGATCCTGGAACTTGCTGGGAAAGTACGGCGACGAAATGGTGCCTTCAGAGCCATTTATCTCGTTGTGGTGCTCTATCAATTAGGGTGAATGAATATAAATTAAATTGAAACCGCAAGAAATGTGTATATGCACTCACCGTAGTTATAGGAGGCCATGAATCCCTCGCCCACATTGTCGTCGTCGCTCTTGAACTTTATCCAGATGTCGCCGCGCGAATGAATCACCCCGGGCACTTCATTGCCACAATACACGCCGATCAGTTCGCCACTCTCCGACTCCTCGCGGATCTCCAGATAATCCCGATTGCAGCCCTCGGAACTCTCCATGTCCATCGATTCCAGCGTGAGACTGAGGGAATTGCCACTGCTGGCCACCAACAGCCACACACACTCAATGTTTGGCGGATACGAGTCGGGATAATACGGTGTACTGAATTTGCCGGAGAGAGCATCATAAACACTACCACAGGACGTGTCCATGGTCATGTAGTTTCCCTCGAACTCCTCCACCAGCTGGAGAGGCACACTGACGGTCAGAGCCTGGCCGTTGGAGATCAAGGCCGGCGGATGCGAGCGACAGAATTTAAGACGTGGTGTTCCCTGCGGCTCCGTGCCCTCGTAGATCTTAACGCCCAGATCGAGGCAATCGCCCTCCGTGGGATATTGCACGCTGGCCTCCTCGCGCAACTTGACATTGGTGGGCGTGAAGATGATGCGCTTGTTGGGCTCCTGGGCTTGGATTACCCATACGCAGCTCTCGTTCCGCGCCGTCTGCCACGACATTTGGATGTAATCGAACGCTGCTTCATCGACGTTTATCTGGGGAATGGAAAGAGCCAAGTTTATTCCATGATCTTTAGAGAAGCAGGCCGAGGAAAAGTGGTACCGTTTGGCCGCAGGACTCGTGGAAGTGCAGCCGGAAGCCCTTTCTCGAGATGGAGTCATCGCTCACGAAGCGCACCACAGCCATGTTGGAAGTGGAGGTGAGCAGTGTGTCATACTCTATGCCGCCGCAGACCTTGAACAACTGCTGGCCCTCCGAGTCGTCCTCCATCAGATCGTAGGCCTCCAGATAATCCCAGGCGCAGCCGTAGCCCGACTCCAGGTCCAGTTCCGCCATCTCGAACACGATCTGGTGGTACTGGGAGACCTCTATCTGCCACTCGCAGGCACTGTGGGCTGGATAATTGAGTGGATAGTTTGGCGATTCGAGCACTCCGTTTTGGGCCGTCAGTTTGCCACCACAGGCTGCCGATAGAAGAGTAGCGAAGCGTTTAATAATTAGTTGCATTTCGATGCCGACCAGTGGAATTATAAGTGGTGGAATGTATATTACTCACTTGTGTTCACAGCTCTATAGGTGGCGTTGAAGCCAAGTCCGTTGTGCGATTCGTCCGAGATGAAACGCACGTGCAGCCTGTGACCAGAACTGGTGATCACCAATTTGGACGCGGACCCGCAGTGTCGTTCGTGGGCTTCAACCGATTGCTTATGGTTGGACACCTGGAGACATTGGATTAGTATCAAATCTCAAATCTCAAATCTCTGCAATGACCAAGCTCACCGTCAGCGCATCCTTGGTGCAATTGGGACTCTCCTCGAGATCTATGCCGTTGATCGTGAGCTCGACGACGCTATCCCGCTCGACGGTGATCAGCCAGTAGCACTCCAGGTTGTTGGGATACATTTTCGGATAGTTGGGCGATTGGAAGGATCCCGATTGGCCGCGCAGCTCCTCCATGCAGCCGTCGATGCGATAGTCCAGCTGGAAGTTCACATTGCTGGCATTGTGAACGACGGTCAACACCTCGCCACTGATGTTCACCACTTGTGGGGTGAGTATTTCCTGCACATTCCCGCCATCCACAATGTACAATCCGCCGGGTTCGGTGGCAGTGGGCATATGCTGCTCGTGCCTCGCCACATGGGAAATTTCCACGAGAACGCGATTGCCCTTGGGCGCTCGAATGGTCCAGCTACAATTGATGGGTATGGTCTCCCAGAATGGTTCCATGTAGTTCAGACTCTCAATGGTTCCTATCGTGCCCGTCAGGTTTCTAATGCAATTCGCCCCGTAGGATATTCGAAATCCGCGGAACGAATTGGACGAGTCGGAATCGAAGACGATAGTGGCTTTATCGTTCTCCAAGTCGATGAGCGGACTAAGCAGATCATCGTCATTGCAGAGGACTAGGTCGGCGTTCTGGTTGGGCAGCCTTATGCCCTTGTAGATCTTCACGCTGTCGTAATAGCAATTGCCCAGACTCTCAATTTGCAGGTCCTCGATTCGGATAAGAATAGCCGATCCGGGATGCACGCTAAGCCTCCACTCACAGTGCGCCATGTGGGGATAGGGGTGCGGGTACCTGGGCGACGCCATGACCCCCGTATTCGAATGTAGATTTCCGCCGCATCCGAAGGCAAAGATTCTCCAGCGCAACCGAAATCCGCGACCGTTGATCGCCGAATCCGTATGAAGGATCAGCCTCATCTCGTTGCTAAAACCCGGTATCCGAGCGGGTATATCCTGGCCGCAGAAGCGTCCGATTAGCGGGGAATCAGTGCTGGCTCCATTCCTTATCTCCAGATAATCGGCTGAGCAGTTCGGCGATTGTTCCAGGTCAAAGTTCTCCAACTGAATCTCGAGCAGGTTATCAACCGTTCCGGTCAAATGCCAGTCACAATCCAAGCCGGAAGAGTAGTTGGCCGGATAGTCCGGTGAGCTTAGCTCACCGCTCGACGCATGGATGTGGCCGCCGCATTGGGCGCGATCCTCGAAGGTGTAGGTCAAGTCGAAGCCTCCATCCGATTCGTTGTAGTCCGACACGAACTTGAGAACCAGCTGACGCGAGTGGCTGATCAGGTCCTCCGGCACATTATAACCGCAGTATTTGGCCAACGGACTGCTCTTCTGGTCGCCCTCCTGTGCAGCCAGGCTATCATATATCTCCAAATAGTCATAGCTGCACTCCATCGCGTGCTCCAGTTGGAAGCTGTTCCAATGGAGGCGGATGGACTTGTTCGCCGGCGCCATTATCACCCAGTAACAGGTAGCTTCATCGGCATAGGTGTTCCCATCCCCCGGCAGCCGGATGTGATCGCCGGAACGGGTGTGTACTCCGCCGCACTTATCGCTGCCGGTGGCCAGGGCTCGATACTCGAATGCGAAGCCACGCCCCATGCTGTCCACGTCCGTGGACAGGTGTAGTTGCACGTAGTTGGTCTGGCTGACGAATTCCTCCTCCGGCTGATTTTTGCCGCAGTAGGGTCCCAGGATCTTGCGGTTTAGTCCATCGTTGATCTGTGCGGGAGAAGAGATGTAGAAGTTGCCACAGAGGTAATATGGACTACACGTCGTACAGGTAGCTATGTGTATGGTGCGGAACTTACTCTCAAGCTGGTGGTCAGACACTCATCGTTGCCCTCGTCGTCGGTCTCGCCGCTGGTCAACTGAAAGTCGATCCTCTTCAGACTGATCACCGTGTTGGCGGCCGTCATAATCGTATAGGTGCAGACCCGATCCGATCTTGTTAGATTGGGATAACCAGGTGAGGTAATGTTGCCATGGTCGTTGTCCAGTTTCAAAGTGCAGGCCATGCGGTAGTTCAGCTTGAAGCTGCCGGCACGGGCATAAAATTTAATCTTCAGCCGATGGAATTGCGAGGTGAAGGCAGGCGGATTCAAGCGCGCCGCATCCGTTCCGCATATCTTCTCCTGCAGAATGCTAACGCCCTCATCCGTGATATCCAGCAACTCCAGGCAGTCCAGTGGATCCAGCTCCAGACGCTCAATCTTGATGTCAATCAGCTCGCCCACGGCCAAATGGATTTCGTACTCGCAGGAGACACCTTCTGGTTCGGAATTGGCTGCGGATGTTTCAAAAATGGTATCCTCCTTGGCGGTGTAGACACCACCGCAGCCGGGCACACGCTCCTCTACGGAATAGTGCAGCTGGAAGCCAGTATCGCTGCCCTCGGCATCCGAGTGGAAGTGGATCTCCGCCAGGTGGGTGGGCAAGAGCAGCGGTGCTGGCGTTTCGCTGGTGCAGTATTTGGCCAGTTCACGTCCGGAAACGGAGTCCTTGATCTGAAGGAAGCACGGTGATTAGGGATGAGCAAGGGAGAAGCCTCCACGATTTGCAGACCAACTCACCAGGACATAATCGAAATTGCAATTTTCGTGCTGTTCCAGCTGCAAGCTGAAGAAGGTCAGCTTGATGCGTTTGGTGGTGGGCGCCACTAGTTGCCACCGGCAGTCCCGATTCTTTGGATAATTTCCGGGCGATCCCGGCGAGGCGAGCGTGCCATGGGTCTCGAAATTCAATCGACCGCCGCACTGCGGCTGCCTCGAGTTCCACGTGAGATCGAATCCCTCCCTGGCCGTCGAGTTATCGGATCGGAACCACAGATACAGCTGATTACCGGAGGATATGATGTTCCCGCCATGTGGTAAATGGTTGCCACAATAGCGTCCAATTATCTGGGCGGCCGCCGAACGGCCATCGTTAATCTGCAGCCAGTCGAAGCGGCATTCCGTGGAGTCCTCCACATCGAAGCTGTTGAACGTGACATTCACCACCAGCGATTCGCTGGTGCGTATCACCCAAGCGCACTGGGCATTATGCTCGTATCCAGTGCCCTCCGGCGGATACCTCAGCCTGCCACTTTGGGCACTCAGCATGCCGTTGCAGCTGCTGAAACGGGTGTCGCAAAGTCGACCCCGGTAACCCGGCAGACACTGGCAGACGAATAGGTCTCCACTGGTGGTGGGGCGACAGCGTCCTCCATTCTTGCAGGGCTGTTGATCGCAAGGACCCGGCTGTGGCTCACAGATGGGCGGACGGAAGCCAGTTGGGCAGAGGCAGGTGAAGTTCAAGGGTCCGGCATCCAGGCAGATGCCATTATTCTATTGGAGCATTGCAAATGGCTATAAATGGCTAAGTAAATACAGAAGGCAACTTACCAGGCAGGGATTTCCCACGCAATTCGTGGTCGTGCCATTGATACAGCCGTTCGGAGCATATCCTGTGCCCACCATGCCCGTGGGACATCTGCAGGTTATTGTGCCGGAGATTAAAAAGCAGCTGGCTGTTGGATAGCAGGGATTGTTGCCCGCCGGACAAGCTAGCGGCGCCTGTCCAGCTTGGTTGTCCACGCCCTGGGTGCTTCTCTCGCACTTCCGCCCATCGCCGATCCAACCTAGGGGACACTCGCCGCAGTGATACGAGCCATAGGTATTTATGCAATCCACCTTCGGTCTGAGGCTACATCCACCGTTGTTCGTCTGGCATTCGTCCAAGTCGCGGCAGCTAACGCCATTCCCTGTCAAGCCGGCGGGACAGGGGGCACAGGTGAAGCTGCCCGGCAGATTGATGCAGTTGGTGGAGCAGGGCTTGTGGCCAGCCGAATCGCTGCACTCGTCCACATCCTCGCCACAAATGGGGGTGAGGCCATTGGTCTTCCAGCCCGGCTCGCAGATGCAGCGATAGCCGGCAGCGTCCGCGCTGGGAACACAAGATCCATGGCCGCACATCTCCCAGGCACTGGCCTGCGAGCAATCCGCCTTGCGCTGGGTGCAGTGCATCCCATGCCAACCCGGCTGGCACAGGCAGCTGTACGAGCCAAACTGATTCTGGCACTGTCCTCCATTCTGGCAACCCAGGTCGGTGCCCTCGTACAGTGCGCACTCGTTGACGTCCACCTCGCACTTGGTGCCCTGCATTTCATAGATTTCAAATTTTATAGAGTATAAATTTATACAAGTATAAATTTAAAAAAATATCAAAAAATCAACTACCATTTGTCGCGTAATCTTACGAGCAAGTCACTCCCTGGTACAGAATATGCTGTGTCACCAACCCAGACACCCACTAATACTCCCCTTTTTAGTGGATTATCATGAGGATTCAAAGAATATGTGTATTCGTGTATACCCACCTCGAATGCCGACCGACATTGGCAGCGAAATCCGGTGTAGGTGTTGTAGCAGGTGCCGCCATTCACGCAGGGTCCACTTGCGCAGTTGTTCACCTCCAACTGGGTCTTCATCCGATCCACCTGGCTCTCCACCGCTCTAAGTCGCTTCTGTAAACGCCGCATCAGAGCCATCGAGCCTCGGGTCCTGTCCCAAAAGAACAATGTTTGTAGCTCTGAAGCATTTATGGTCTGAGACCTTTCCTATTATTATTATTTGACCCATACGATCTAGCATACATGAGGATGAGCACATTAAGGTGCATCCCAATTTTCAATGCTCAAACATGTGTACTTCCAGAGATCGGTATAGGTTATACCCCTTGCAATGCTCACCTGTTTCTCTGCTGTCCCAGCATTTCACTCAAGCCATTCGCTCCAAAGGCCCGCCTATTGATGTCAGCCAGCCGTTCCGCCAGCTCCCGCACATCCACTACATCATCGGCGGTGTTCCACTCATCCTTGCCGCCGGATTGCTTCTTGGAGCCATTGGTGGCCAGCAACAGCTCCATGACATCCAACTCCTCGTTGATGGTAAGCCGCGAATTTCCGCTCAATCGAAAGCTAATATTGCGATTTGCGCCCGATTCAAAAATCAAATTGCCATCTTTGCTTATAATTTTTGGCCTGAAATCAGTTGATATTAGCAGACATGCACTGCATTACTTAAGCGAGTCCTTACGAGTTGACGAAACCCTCAGCACAAGGCCAAGTATCTGCGATGATCGCCATGACTGCCCAACACAACAGGAGTCTGCTCCTCGCAGCTCCTCTCATTTTGTCACTTTCAAAAAGCAATTCCACTGCACATTAGAGGCACAGAAACACCAAACAAAAATTAGATCCGTTCCGCTGGAATATCGAAGTTCAACTGTGCTGCTCCCGCCGATCTTCGCGTTCCAGATCAACTCATAATGGAGCGGGGGCGTTTTCGGGAATACGCCCATCAAACTCATTGACAACCATCATCGCATAGATAAGCAGACTGGATTTAAAATCGTTCACACGTATATATATATATTTATTTTTTGTTTTGAGCAGCTTCCTCATCCGATTTGAATTTGCTCTCGGTGCTGGCTTAGGGCGCTAATAATATCTATTACAGTAGCACATAAATTAGATCGTTTAGCTTAGGGTTAGCTTCCTTCCAAATGTAAAAACTACAGAGCAGTTCTCCTGTTTGCCCTCTCGTTTCAAAAGAGCAGTTTTCCTATTGCAAATATTCTTTACAATTACGCAATTACAGGTGCTTCTTGGTGTGTGTGTGTGTGTGTGTGTGTGTGTTTCCTTTTTCTTCATCAATTTATAACATATATAGAACAGACTGTGTGTGAGGTTGGGTTGTGCCCAAGATGCTTGACTTAAGTACAGGCGGTGCTCTGCATAGATCTCTGCTCTCCGTGCCAGGTGCTGGTCAGAAGTCTAGTTAAGTGGGCCGCGTAGGTTACAAATGCACAAGAAATGTTCGATAATCAAATGGCATGTCATTTGCTCTGAGGAACTATAGATCTGAGGGTGACACATGCATACAACAGATCGGAGATCCTAAATTCAAATTCAGCAATATTAAATTATGCGACACAGTTTAACAAAGATCAATAAGGTATTCAAAATAGTAGAATCGTTCGGTTAAATAGTTAAGAATATACAAACAATTTGTTAAAGAGTTTCAAGTGATAAGCAAGTCTCGTATAAAAGATCGTACTCTCAATTTAGTTGAGATTAGGTAATAGGTTGTTGTGACATTGTTCTCCGTCTTTTATAACTGAGAATTATCATCAGTTATCGAATACAGCTGGTTTTATAATAGTTTTGCGTTTGGTGTGCTTGGTGGTAGTTCAGTTTTACTTGGTTAGTGGTGCGTATGATCGGGTTCGATCGCAGTTCCATTGTTCTGTTTGGTCTTGGTGGTGTTTAGTGAGTGGGATCGAAGGAGAGCTTCGTTGGTTGGGTGTGCTGTTATGTCTTATAGCTATGGCTTGTCATACAATTCTTTGTAGTTTCTCTTTTTGGCCGTGGAAATAGGAAATATTCTAGGGTTTGATAGTTGCTTTTGCCTGCATCTACATAAGATACATAGATACATACTTGTTTATATATCCTCTATGTTTTTGTTGTGTATATATAACGTAGGTGTGTATATTAAGAATCACAAAGATGAAATGACTTGCGTTTACAGTCCGAGTATAAATAATAACAAAGCTGGGCGCAATCAGATCCGGATCTCTGTGCTGTGAGCATTTGTTCACAAGAAACTATGGTAATAATAATAGAAATTATATTAATTACAAAATATGGGTGCCAGGACACGCGTTACACGATAAATAAATATTAAAAATATACACTCGACAGTTGAACATTCTGCTTAGGTTGGGTTTTTCTCTTGGTTACAACTCCACGTCATCCAGCTTGACTCCGTTTCCTGTGAAACACAAAAACGTGCTCCAGATCTTCAGTTCTCGGCGGTTGTCACTGCCTTTGGTCGCCGTATGTGCTCCGATTTGTGATAGAGGAATTTATAGCTCGATTTCTGCTTCTCCGTGAGCTCCACAAAGGAATCTGTTGTTTCGTTTCGATGGATTAGAAAATTCGGATTTTAACCCAATGATAAAATACCCACCGAAGGAGATGTAGCCCAGGTTGTCGGTATCCAGAGCATAGAAGAGCGCCTGCGCCTTTTGTTCATTCAGCTTGCCGCCAGCGTGTCTCATTAATCGCACAAAGCTTTCCCTGTCGATTTGCTGACTGGATTCGCTGTACAGCTATTGGTTGCAAATAAACGAATTAAAGTAAATGCATAGTTTCATACAACATATAGATTGTATTACGTGGATGAGGGCACGCAGGAAGGTCAAGAGATCGGAATTCTTTAATTTGCAGAAGAGGGAACAGAGCAGGAAGCTCTTCAAACTCACAGTGCCGGCGCGACGCTGAAATGAGTGAAACAGACAATACCAATTAGAAAGAGATAGCGCAGGCGAGCTACCATCGATCTCGGTGAGATCAAAGAAACTTACGTGATCGAGCAGAGCAAACAGCTTGTGGAGATTAGTGTTCTTAAGATCCACCTGGAGCAGCTCGCCGAACGTGATGATATCCAACCGATCCGTGTTGGACAGCCGCAGGAAGCCCTTGCACAGCTCCGCGTCCCGTTGGCTCTCGATCAGGCCCAGCTTCTCGATGGTGCGCTCGATCTCCACGATGTCGCCGGGGAAGGGAATCTTCATGTCGCGAGCTCTGCTCATTACAATCACATCCTCAAACGAATAATCCGAGGTGGGCACTCCCAAGGCCCTGGGAAAATTGAATATTTAGTAGGTACTTAAACAATCTCGCTAACTTGAAACCAATTAACGTTATTTTAAGCAACAAAATTGTTTACCTCTCACTGAACCAAATGCTTTGATATAGAGTATAAGCTATAAATAGGAATGGCTAAGGAAATGGCTCATTTCATTTGTACAAATTATGTATGTTTTTGCAACATTTCCATTTCCGACCATTCAATGGGCTATTGCCCCACTTACTTGGCCATCACCTCGCGCACATTGTTGGCATACAGATTGGCATCGGCCACTTCGTCCTCCGATGGTGTGTACACGGGCAGATATTCGATCTCGCAGCGGTTATAGAACTGCGTCATCGTCAGCCAGAGAAGGCGTAATCTAAATTAAGCAGGGAATTCAAATTATATAAATATTTGACGTGATACCCAATTGAAGCCCCTGGTTACTCACACTCCAGGTCCGTCCCAGGTCCATGTGAAGGTGTCATATTTATTCGGGTACTTAAGGAGCACCGGTTGGACGGGCACGCCCGGATAGAATGCGCCCGGTTTGAATTTAATCAGAGCCGTGCGATTGGTGCAGGTGCCCTCGGCAAAGATGACCACCTGCGGCCAGTCGTCTGCGGAACGGGCTCGGTCGACAATGTCACGGATGGTGTTCTGGCGGGAATTGGGATCCTCGCGCTGCACATAGATGGGCTGGGCATAGTTGATGATCTTTCCGAGCAACGGTATGTCCGCCGTCTCCCGCTTGGCCACTATCGAGGGCGGGCCACTGGCCACGACCAGGATGGAGTCCACGTAGGAGGAGTGCGGTGCCACCACCAGAATGGGCGCCTCCTTCGCCGTCGCCGCTCGTCCCTTCATGGTCACATAGTGGAACGATCCGAAGGTGTACACCATGCGCATCCCACAGGCCGTCATGCATTGCACTTGTCTGAAAAGTGTGAAAAACGAAATGATAATTAGCCAATGGTTCCAAATGGAATGTCTTATTTACTCACTTCCGCCAGCCGGTGAGGGGTTTCGCCTTGAGATCATCCAGGGTCATTCCATAGAGTCCAATGCAGGCGAACATCCACGCGGAGATCAGGGAGAGGACGCAGCCCACCACGCGGATGGGCAGGAGCAGAACTGTCAGCACATAGATCTGCAAGATATGGGCAGATTATATGGCTATTCAAACAAATGGTTTATTGATAGTACAATATGATAAAAGTTAGTAGAAGCTTGGAGGCAACAATTTGATTATTGATTAACTAGTAATTTAATATGAGAACTATTCAATGGAAAAAGTTTACTCCTCTTAGATGGTACTTTCGTCTTGTTTATTTGATTTATATCGGGCAAAACAGATCATAGCAATATATATCTTAAAAGTGTCTTCCATCGGCTGCAAAAGTCTGCTAGACTTCACTTTTAGGACTGACTATATTTACTATATACTACTGCCAGCAAAGGTCCATCTGGACAAGGTATACACAAGCAATGGTTGGTATTCAGTGACTTCTACAGCACCAACGACAGCCAGGCGGCCATCAGGCACAATCCTCCCATGGTGGCATACGGTTGCATCCATTTCTCGCCGGTCAGGGCGCGATAGTACATGGAACCGCTGAAGACGAGGGTGCCGGTGATCATTAGGGTGCCGGTGAGGAAGGGATAGTGGGCCAGGGGCATGGCCATCAGGGCAAAGGAGTGCAGGAAGTGAATGCGATTGGCCACGTCGGCGAACGCCTGCGAGTCCAACTGCTCCCTGATGCTATCGATGTCCCGCAGCACATACTTGCAATAGGCACTCATGAAGATGGCCGATGCGCCGCCAATCCCAGCCAGCCGCACAAAATGGTAGTGGCACCCGGCGAGGCAGTACAGTGAGCTATGCGAACGCACATACGATTGTGCCGAAGGATGCAGTGCCCGGATGGAATCCTCCACTGGCATTTTCCAAGGTCCCAGTCCGATGGTCTCCAAGAAGGCGTTCGCCGTCGCGATGACCATCTGACTGACTGGATTGCCCAGGATGAGATAGTCCAGCGTTTCGGACATCGACATGGTGTAATTGTCTTGCCAACTCTTGCCCAATAATTTTGACGGAGTGCCAAAAAGGTACATATATTTGTACAGTAGAACTTCTATGTGGAGGATTCACTATATACGCTAGAGCTGTAAAAACATCGTTGTCAAGTGCAATCGATGTTAAATGATTTTCAGTTGGAAACACCGATAGTGTAGACTACACATTTCGGTGACATTTGAAACAAAGAACTAATAAATACATAGATCACAGAAAATTTGAGTATTTAGGATACGGCATTCATGCCCTAATCATTTGGGGTTCATTCGCGTTTGATTAGAGTTTCGCACAGCAAATAAAGCCCAATGATAATCACGTATCGCTTATCGATATAGGAGGAGGCCAATCACATGGCGAAATGTGCCACTAATTTATGCAAGCAGACTTCTATTTATATGGACCCACAAATCAATGGATCGGCAAACATGGATCGGCATGTTTACATTTGCCAACTGCCAATAGCCGGGCACTATATTGATATATGACAGACTTATCAGTCGAGTGGAGGCGCGCCGGTTAACGCACTGAACTTTGCAGTATCGACCCGGCCCTATTGATAAAAATCGGTTCCAAGAAATGGCATGGAAATAGCCCGGAAGACCACACAATGTCTAAAGCGTGTTCCATTAGTAATATTATATTGGAACTCCTGTGGATTATCGCCTAATTCACATTATGCTTTAGGATCAGAGTCCAATTTGTGCTTTTCACCATTCAAAAAAGATTCACATTTTAATCTCTATTTATAAAGAACTGCTACATATATGTATGTACCCTTGAGAATACAGCTAAGTGCAGCTAAGTAGGATTTCTTCCCAAAAATAATCCAATCTATATAGTAATAATAATCATATAATAATAATATAGTAATAATAATATAAGAATCTAACGTATTATTACGTACTGTATCGTTTTCGAAGCAGTTTTGCTAGTCGGAACCGAAAATCTAAATACAAATCTTCTAAATACCCATTTAAAATCCATTTAATAGTGTTCGCCAGCATATAGCCAAATGAACTGCATGCCAACTTGATGGGAAGTAACAACAATGTCAGGGCCATCTTAAAGTGCCTTGAACTTTGGTCGGAAGCGAAATGAAAACGAAACCGGTTTTTGTTTTCTGCACGCAATGGAATCCCCACAAGAGCCCCACTTTTCGACCAACTCTCGAACTTTTTATAAATACATATACATATATTATATTTGAGTGGGTCAATGGCTCAACAAGTGCATCGCTTCCTCCTGCCCAGCTGATCTCAGAACTGGCTGTATTGTTCTACACTGAAAACCATGTCTACACCCCACTGCAGTTATCAACTTTGTTGCTGGCTTTGCAACAATCATCATTTATTATTCAAGACTTTGAAACTTGACTAAGCGATAGCGGCATTTAGGTGCGTCACTGAGATGGTTTATATACAATATAGTATTTGTTTACCTCGCGTGATTCCTATATATGTATGTATGTATATGTAGGTTAATGGGTGTGGATGAAGTACGAGCAGTGTCAATGCTACTTTAAAACTTTTTCCAGCTTATTCTTTTCAAAGTTAACAAAAAAAAAGGCAATTATTATTAGATCTAAGCAGAAGAAATCACTTTAAATCCCTTAGGCCAACAAGCTACAAGTCATTGGAATCACGCCATATTCGCGAATTTCCGTGAATCAGCCAAACAATAAATTATAGGTGGCAGAAAATGTGTGTTTGACTTTTAATTGCAGCTACAGGTGTCAAAATGATACGGAAATTGATTTATCGGTATAATACTTGGCATAATTCTTGGTAGAGTAAAGCTTTAAATACTAATACCCTGTAATTTAAATATGTCCTAATGTATAATAGATATTTTAAGGTTGGGCAGCATATAATAGCATTTTCAACGTTATTTCTTTGATATACAATATTGACATCATGAATTCCCTGGCAAATCTGCTTTGATCCATAAACAAGCCGAAACACTTGTACACACATATTTGCTTTTGTTTATTATTGTATTATTGCCACTCGGAGCAATTAGTGCCAAGTACAAACGGCGGGGTAGGTATACCAAAATATAGGAATTATGGGAAGGGGCACGGAAATACTTAACATGGCAAATTCTGCCATTAGCCCCATGTGAGAAACTCAAACCGTTTCGCTGATTGTCCGATTATGGGGCTCTTTAAATGCAGTAAAACACCTGACGTTGCAATGGAATACAAGTTAGTGATAAAGTGTAGGGTTAGCTGGTGGGGTGATATTCTGCTTTTGACGAAATAGGTAAGTAATACATACCACATACATACCACATATGTAGGTATGGGGGCCTTATGGCATAACAAATATAATTAGCAAGAATGAGCGGACATTATTTTACTGACAACAATCATTCTTGGTATTATACGAATGTTCTATTTTTGTGTATCGCAAAGGAAATTAAACAAGCTTACTAAAAGTATTGACTGCTTCGGATTCATTTCTATAAATAAATGTTACAAATTGCTATTGACACGGTAAATTTGGGTGCTTATATGGGAAAAGCTGATTTCTATACGCGTATTTCTATACTCCACTTTTTTTTTATCGTATCTAAGAGATAATTTTTTTGGCATGATAAAATCATGGGGTCATTGACATTTGCAAACGGCGTCAAAATGTACTTGTATTTACATACCTCCATGTTTGTAATTATTTACTTCACCAGATAAAATCAGTTTATCTATAAGATACATACAGATGTATATTTAATTTTCGCTGTATGGTCTTGTTTACATCTTTATTCTTAGTGGCTGGTTTTTTGTTCAATTTTGTATCTTCAAGAGTTTCATGCCAAAGTAATAATTCGAAATATGTATGTATGTAATTCGGTTTTTATATATATATAGCTCCTATATCTTTGTATTTCAATATGCTCTCCCATCTCTTTCGAGTACTCGCCAAAAATGGCCAAAGAAAACGGGAATAAGCGGAACTAAGGCAGCCATTGACTTGATGAGTGCGAGCGAGATGGATGGGTTTCAGCAAATACCTATAATACCAACAACAACTAGATAACAACAACAACAGTGTATAAGAACAATAACGGCACACGAGCCATAAGAACCGGCGTCGCAGCAGCATTAGCAATAGCAACAAAATGCACAACAACAAGCCCCCTAGTTGTTGCCGGCCCACCAACAACACAGAAAACAAGAAAATCATACGATTCTCGCTGCCGCTGGCGAAAAAAGAAAACGCTGACGTAGGCAGAGCCGTCGGCAGCGACAGATAAAAAAGAATCAGAAGGAAGAGGCGGTAGAAACGAAGCAGAGTGTAACAAAAACAATGCGGGCAAGCAAGAACAAGCACATTGACCAAATGTAACGGCAAATGCATGTCAAGTGCAATGCGATGGTGAGAGAAAAGATGGGCAAAGGAAAGTTCTCCTCTCTCCTCTCTTCCGCTCACTCTCTCTCTCTCTCCCCACTCCAGTGGAGATCGCCAGGGGCGGAAGCGAAGAAGATAGCAAAGGGATGGTATTTAAATATGATTTTAAATGCCGCTTGAGGGGGAATCATTTATAAATATGTTACGGGATATAGGGCATATTTTTTGAAGAAGAGCTCAGATAATAGGCCCTCATTGGTATGTGCGCCTGAAGGGATCGCACATGTGCCCGATTTGCATGAATGGCAGAGGGAGATGGCTAGCGGGAAGCGGGCGAAACAGGGGCGTGGGATAAGAAGAATGGAATGGGGGGGGGGTCTCACCTTGGCCACTTCAATGTGACTGTCGATTTCGATGCGATGGACAAACGGATTGATGTAGTTGTACCCCTTGGATGCCCACGTATCCTCCTCAGAATCCCGCTTCGTCAGGCTGGCGGCCACTCCCACACCAGCGATGTCGCCCACACCGCCCACCACTCCCGCCGGCGGCACTTCCTCGCCGCCCGTTGGCTTAATTGTCGACGTTGTCATTGCCCCCAGTTACACCTTTCTCCGCTTAAGCACTTCTTTCGCTCACTTTGCTCAGCGATCACACCACGCACTGCCGCACAGCGGTTAAAAAATATGTAAAAAATATATAAATAATAACAACAATCGGTGTTATCTCCTCACTGGCCACCACTTCACTGGCTCTCAAGCGCTGCCTTTCGCGTGTTTCGCCTTCCGCTTTTGAGTGGCAATTTTTGTATTTTATACCGCAAACTCAGATCGCATAGTATAGTTATTGGATTCGCAAGCGAGCAACACAACAACAAAATACGTATTGCACACTTTGTCTTTTCCACGCAGTTTGGCAACACTTTCTCCGCAGCGTTGTGCAACACTGCATGCTCAGTCGATAGATACTGGAAATATACCGTAGGAAATACCCACTTCTATTTCTGACGATCCGGCAACCTACATTGCTTGTTAGAAATACCAAAACTTTGGGTATTTTTTAATTTTAGCAAATTTAAAAGCAAATAATAATCATACATGTTGTATTTGAAGCGATTCATGTTAAGTCTTGGCCCTTGGTTGTGTTGCCCTTTTTCAGCCATAACTGTTTTGAATTTAAATTGTCTAAAGTTCTGGCAACGCTTCTTAAACAGACCCGCCAAAAGTTTGATATTCAAAAACCCAGTTCTCCCTTGAACGCTTAAACGTTTGACCGTTTGACCGTTTCACGTGCTTCGCAGACACAGCATCGCGCCATCGATTAGTTGATTTGCCTAATTATGGTCGAATCTTAATCTAAATCGCTGACAGCAGACCCACAGTTCACGGCCCAGCCAACTCATGTGCCTGAAACGTGTTTGGTTTTGTCCCAAAAACAAATATCAAACTTAACGATCTTAATCAAAAACGTTTCCAAGGCAAGACACCTAGTTAGCTGTCAAGCATACATATGTACAATTGTCTAGTCTATATGTATGTACATACATATGTATGTAGCTTTATCAGCGGTTGAGAAACGCCGACCAATCCAACCAGTTTTATTCCGTTGCGTCGGATGGTTAGTTTTTCAAGATAAAACGGGTTTTTCGCTGCTGCGATGATCACCTGCAATCTGAAGTTTTGGTTCGTTTTTCGTTGGCGGCGAAGGGGCGACATTAACTGTTATACGTCGGTGACCTTGACGAAGTTTATTCGCCGCCCTTTACCCCGTGACCTTGCCCAACTCGACTCCATTCTGCACGAAAGCGAAAAGAGTTCCTCCTTAGGGGCATTCATACATATATGGTGTTACTACTTCTGGTTAACCAAGCCCCCCTTTTTCCCCGCCCACCGCATAATCAGCCAACCGCTTCCATGGCCAAAAGCGCGATTTTTAATGACTGCCTCTGGCGGCGCTTATTAATGGAATTCTATATTTTGAAGTATTGCGATTTTTATTCATCCAATTTGCTCATCCATGTATTGACTTAAATAATAGGAATATGTATGTATGTGTTTTAATAAAGTGCAAACAATACTACTATTTCCTATTCATTTCCGTTGTCAAACTAAGGATGCTTTTTGTTATTGTAAGTTTTGGCTATTTTTAACATAATTCCTATGATTTGGATTGTATTTTTCTCAAGTTCTTGTATTTTATGTGTTGATATTATTTCGTTTTTATTTATTATACTGTTATTTGACTGTTCACATGTGGCGTTTATTTGCTTTACTTATTTTATTATATTTTATACCTATTTCTTAAACGAAAGTGTTATTACATTTTACTATTCTATGTGCTTGTCCTTTTTCCCTTATAATTTATAGATATGTATTTTAAACTTATTTGACTTTAACGTACAACATGTGCGTTTATTTTTTGAATATTTTGTTGTGCATTTTTGTGTGGCGGTTTTGAACATTTTTATGGGTTTTTTGTCGCTAATTTCGTTTTTTATCTGTTTGCCCGCCTAGTGTGGGTGTTTTTTTTCGCCGTTTTTCTGTCAAATGAATTTTCCGGCTTTTGGCCAAGCATCACGTGAAGTTATTTACAGTTGCCAAAAACGTATTATAATTAATGACTTTTGTTTATAACACGAAGGCCGGCGATTTTCACAAATTTTCCACGCGGTTTCATTGCCTTCTGCATTGATCCCATCAAGTGCGAGCGAAATGGCATTGCCAGAGTGAATGTGGGAGTGAGATGGCATGAGAGCGGGCGACGTCATCATCATTGACGTCACAGCCGAAATACAAATGAAAACCTAATATCATACGATAAAATGTTGTAAAAATCGATTATTTTGTATATACAACACAGAGGCGATGGGCAAGCGCACATGGGCAAACCCCCAAACACAATCACAGAAATGCCCACACACACGCACGCACACACACACAAACACACACGGAGAGAGCTTTCAGTGTGTGTGTGCCATGGGGCGAGCCCCCAAAACTGGATTCCTGAAAGTGTGCTACTAGCGAAAGAAGACAACGTGAGTACGTATAACAGTTGAAGGTGACACTGGAGACCCTGGCGATAGGACACGTATAACAGTTCTGTAATCCCAACTTTGGCTGACGAAATCGGTGGAATTCGAGGCGTGGTTGAGCCCCAGCTCCCAAAAAATATATAAAAACCCACCTGGAACCAGTTGATTTGTTGTATTCATCTGGTTCTGTTGACAAAGGGATTTTACTTCAAAGAACCTGTTATAAAATTCGAAACGTAAATATGTACATACGTATGTAAATGGAATTTCCCTGGTCCAATTTTTTCCTATAGCTCAGAGCCAAAAATATGCATCTCTTTGGGATTTAGCAAGGGATGATAAGGTGGGCAAATATCATCCATAACTAATTTCACCAGTATTCGTATATACATATAAGTACCTATGTATGTAAGTTCTAATGAATAATTTGTTACAATTTATCAGACACAAATAACTGTCAGTTGAAAAGTATAACTTATGATTTTTCTGACTACTACGTCGGACTATTCAGGATGTATTTCTATAATTTCAAAATGTATACGTTGTTTCCATAATCTTGACGATACTGAACTGATTCATAGGTTCCATACATATAGTGTATTTATAGCTTATAGCTGGATGTGCTATTCTACTTGAACAAATTCAATGACAAGCCCCTTCGTTGGACCCCCTCTTAAGTGACTTGGCCCCCTTTTCTGCTCCTTTAAACTGATCCCCTGCCCCCCTTCCGCCCAACACCCTATTTCGGACTCAGCCAAGCAATTTCCGTAACTGAAGATAAGAAAAGAAACAACTACGAGAACCACTCCTTGTCTCGTTTTCCATTATAATCTATTAGACTTCATATGTACATATGTACAAATGTATCTTTAAAGCGATTAATATGAACTTCGCATACTGTTTGCAAGGGCTCAGTTAATGTATTGCATTAAACACTCTTCCAAATAAATGTTAGAATTTTCTTCTACTTATATTAAGTAAAGCTATCACTTCAAATTAAGAAGTTTTTGTGGTTCTAAAATGCAAATTAAAATGAATACGAATAGTTGCAATATTGTGGAAAATTACCTATGTATCCTATGGTTACTTAAGAGATTTTCAAGAGTATTAGCCACTTCGTTTTTGAATATTTGCACATGTGTGGTATCAATTTTTTATTTATTGACGTCTGTTGGTTCCTGAGTAACGGAACGTGTAACCGAGCCAGATAAACAATTAATCAATTGTGTCGCGCCAGCCAAAACACACACCCACACACATGCACGTAGACACACCTACACACACACCGTATGCAGGTGGGTATAAAAGAGACTTAAAAAAAAATGTCTTTTCCAAATCGTCAAAAGTCACTGAGTTTGTTATGCACTTTGCACTTTGCGATTTTTTGATCTCATTTTAGCTGCTTTATTGCTGCAAAACTGGCGTAAACAACTAATTTTTTTGTTCTTGATTTTGTTCTTGTGGCGAAATAATTTCGCAAGACACGTGCAGCAGCATGTGTTGGAGGGAGATGGGTATAGGCAGAGGGAGGGGGAAGCGGAGGGAGTTGTAATTGTTGTTGTAGTTGTTTTAAGCTAGACGTCATCGCACTATCGCCGTCTTCTCCTGTCCGTGCCCCAACTTTTCGGCGGGGGGCGTGTGCGTGAATGGAATAGGAGCACAGCAAGGGCCAAGAAACTAGCAATGCGAGGTAGTGGTTGTACGGGCCTACTTATATTTTTTTCCAATTATTGCAAAGTCATGTTGATTTTTCGTTTTAAAGCTCTCTTTAAAACTGATGGCCAGCTGACCTTTAGGTGCTAATTTCTGGCCCCCGACTGTTGGTGTCTGGTCTTGTATAACAGTTATGAGGCCACATGCCAGCACACACGTTTGCAGACATTCCCTCTCACCTACATTCGTACAAACATATGGGTACATATACCTACATATGTACTTACATATGTCTGTATGTGCACATGTACTCTCACTTGTAGTTTAAAGCACTTTAGTTGTTGTTGCTGCCATTACGGACGAGCCTCTTTGGAAGAATGCTGGAAAACAAAAAAGATCAAACGACATAAACTACATGGCAAAAATGCAGCACCAAATGGAAATTGCACATGAAATCTAGATGCAAAAATATGAAACAACAAAATTCCATTGAATGGAGAGCCATAAGCGAAGACTAAGCGAAAGAGAGGAGAGCAAGAAAGAGAGGGAGCGGAACTTCAAACTGGGCGGCACGTACACACACAAAAGGGGGCTGGGCGGGGTGACGAGCCCCACGGACCCTGAGCAAAAATACATAAGTATGTATACAAAGATGTACATCTGTATGTATGTATGTATGCCTTTGAGGATGTTGACGCGTCGCTAGAACTTGAGAATTCCAAGAAGCGGTAAAAACGGGTGAGGCGATGATGGTGGTGGAGGGGGTTGGGGTGGAGAGGGAAATGTGGCTGCCAACAGCTACACAAACTGGCTCTCCCAATTTTCTAGGTAAACCTTGCTCTTTCTCATCTGGAAAGGCACTGTTATACTAATACCGATGCAGAGTGAGCGGGAGAGAGATCGCTGAGAGTGGGAAGGCGGGTGTGAGGGGCGTGGGGCGAACAGGGGGTTCAAGGAACGAAGCCAACACGCAGGCAGCAACGAAAAGTCCGATTGGCGACTTTTAGATGCGCTACCATCGTTAAATGGTTATAAAAGAAAACATGCCTCTAATAAATAAATTAATTGTTGCCTACTTACTGGCGACCCGCATAGGCAAATATAATATAACTCGTGTCTTTCATAATTATACAATTTATTTTTCGAAATGGAAAAGACAACATTTTCAGCTTGAGCTTAATACAGAAAAGATATTTTGTTGAATGGGCATAGGTGGCGTATGAGTAATACACGTATACTGA